GTACTTTGATTTAGACAAAAAAACGAGATATTCAGGAAAGCAAAACCACTATTGATGTTCAGAAACAATCTTCTCACATTTACTCCTACTGATAATCCCATTATCAATCAGAGTAAATGTTAATTAGTTTGGAAACTCTATTTTTAGCTTAGAGTCAGTGTTTTCATTCACATATTTGAAAAGACGCAGCAGCAAAAACCAAGTGAGGGTATAAAGCCCCCAGTATACTCCCGCATACGTCCATTCACGCATACGTATGCGTGTACTGTACGCAGAGGGTTCAGACTTGATACTCAAGCGTACAACCTGGGCATCTCCAGAGCAGCTTCATAGACAAGGGGCGTTTACCTTCGGGACAAATTGAGGTCGCTGATTGGTCATTTGCTGACACGCCTACTGGATTGATTGACAGGTCGGGAAAAAAAAAAAACGAGCGCTGGCAGCCTCAGCGGTGTTCTGTGTTTATGTTGTTAATTAAAAGTTCTAAAAATAAATAAAAAAACAGGGAGTGCTGGCTCTACAGCCCACACATCAGAGCAGCCCACCAGGAAATCTCCAGACCCTCCCGCAGCCACGCTGTACCCAAGTTTAATTTGCTCGTGACAAATTATTTCATTTCTCACCATTTCAGTCATAGCATCAATGGAGGAGGGGATCACTTGCCTCTTGGCAAAAAAAAAACAAAAGAAAAGGCCAGATCAAAGATGAAAAAGGGGAATTTAATAAATTGGTGTTGCATACAAAAAAGTCAGTCGCTGGGCAGTTTATTGTGTGACACCGCGTACGCGTATGCGGTCGTAAAAATTGAGCTTTGCACGGACATGCCCTGGGGGGTACGCTCGTACCTCCGCGTATGGACGTACGCAGGAGTATACTGGGGGCTTAATTCTTGCAGTGAAACAACAATAGAAGCAGCAAACTGTGACATAAACTCCAAACTGTAATTATCTTTGATGACTAAATATATCATCAGCCAGCAAACTTTACTGAGAACACTAAAAACGTACAACATTGTACTGGATATCGTGTTTACACACTAATGGTTCTTAAATTTAAGCTCAGTTTGCTCCCAGGGCTTTAATGCCATGTAATTAGCAAGCCCAAACCCTGCAGTAATGAAAGTCATGTGGTGGGTGGGTCGACAGTCCTAAAACGAGTCCCCTGATGTTGTTTCAAATTTACAGAGAAATACTAAATCCAAGAGTGTGAACTCTTCTTTCGAATAGGGCAAAAGCCAGACACAGTGCATGGCAGCAAGCTTCAAGGGGCTTGCAAATGTGGTATACATAGCTGTGTGAAGGAAACCAACATGTGCCTCAACACGCTGCACGTAGCAGCATATGCCTCCGATCTGTCAGTACATTAGTCAACAGACAGAATGGACTGAGTTATAATTATTTTTCTAGTATGCAGATCATTCTCCACTCTGGAAGTTATATAAATATTACATGGTGGATGTTTAAATCCTTGCCTTTGTTATACATAGTTTTGGGGCAGTTACCAAAAACTACCAGAAAGCATGAGCACTTAAAGTGGAAGACTACCGTACTTACGTCGGGGCTTACGGCACATCTTGTAAAAGCTGCAGCATGGACAGACGAAGCAGCAGATGAAGACGAGGAAAAGCACAAAGAAGATCACACAGCCAACGATCGAAGGCACAGGAAGTGTACTAGAATATTTCCCGCCTTCACTACTGAAAAGACAAAAACAAATCATACATTGTATAAAACTTCTGTGAATTTTAGCAGAACATTTAACAGAGATGCTAATGTTATCAGCTTAGGAGTTACAGTTAAAACCATTTGACAATTCTTGTAATGCACTTTCAAAATGTGTTTCACAACTACAACCACCATTACAAGAATGTCTAATGCTCAATTTTCCACTGCAATCCCTACTAAATACAATAGTTCATTTATTTAACGTTAACAGGAAATGCAGTATTAACCAAATGGGTTGATTACTCACTGAAAATTATCACTTGAGTTATGCGAGATGTTGAGCTTCTTATAGCCAACAATAGTGACAGGGGCAGAATGTCTTTTTTGTCAGGTGACTGTTATGAATGTATGCTTAACATACCATGTCACAGCAGTCCATATTTTAATTTGTACAACTAGCTCATCTTTTGACAAAACTTTATCACAATTCTTCATGTTAGCATCTGCTAACATCACATCTAACATAACATAATGACATAAAATCTAGCATTTAGCTTTGCATGAGGCACAATTTTGCGATTTATCTTTGAAAAATCAACCACAATTCTTGACTGCACTTACTGGAAAACAAAAATAAATTGAAACAAAAACCTTGTACAGCTACAAGTCTCACTGTTTGTGTGTTGTAAGACAAGATAATTTAAGTTGGTACACTAATTTATTGTAACAAAGAATAGTGTACCACTTTTCTTGCGTCGATTCTGATAGCCACTGAAGATGATCACTACAACACTTTCTTTTGCCACAGGTACCACAGCAAAAGGTCGGGTAGCTGCAATACTGAGAAAAATGGTATTTGTTGGAAGAATCGGTGTAGGCCTTACAGCCTTCCCCTGCTGTAACAGAAGAGAGAGAAATTTACTACCATATAAGACAAAATTGTAATATCAACCTAAACCAACATTACAGGTCCTTCTCAAAAAATTAGCATATTGTGATAAAGGTCATTATTTTCCATAATGTAATGATAAAAATGAAACTTTCATATATTTCAGATTCATTGCACACCAACTGAAATATTTCAGGTCTTTAATTGTTTTAATACTGATGATTATGGCATACAGCTCATGAAAACCCAAAATGCCCGTCCCAAAAAATTAGCATATCATGAAAAGGTTCTCTAAACAAGCTATTAACCTAAACATCTGAATCAACGACGTAACTCTAAACATCTGCAAAAGATTCTTGAGGCTTTTAAAAACTCCCAGCCTTGTTCATTACTCAAAACCACACTCATGGGTAAGATTGCCGACCTGACTGCTGTCCAGAAGGCCATCATTGACACCCTCAAGCAAGAGGGTAAGACACAGAAAGAAATTGCTGAACGAATAGGCTGTTCCCAGAGTGCTGTATCAAGGCACCTCAGTGGGAAGTCTGTGAGAAGGGAAAAGTGTGGCAGAAAATGCTGCACAACGAGAAGAGGTGACCGGACCCTGAGGAGGATTGTGGAGAGGGCCGATTCCAGACCTTGGGGGATCTGCGGAAGCAGTGGACTGAGTCTGGAGTAGAAACATCCAGAGCCACCGTGCACAGGCGTGTGCAGGAAATGGGCTACAGGTGCCGCATTCCCCAGGTCAAGCCACTTTTGAACCAGAAACAGCGGCAGAAGCGCCTGACCTGGGCTACAGAGAAGCAGCACTGGACTGTTGCTCAGTGGTTCAAAGTACTTTTTTCGGATGAAAGCAAATTTTGCATGTCATTCGGAAATCAAGGTGCCAGAGTCTTGAGGAAGACTGGGGAGAAGGAAATGCCAAAATGCCAGAAGTCCAGTGTGAAGCACCCACAGTCAGTGATGGTCTGGGGTGCCATGTCAGCTGCTGGTGTTGGTCCACTGTGTTTTATCAATGGCAGGGTCAATGCAGCTAGCTATCAGGAGATTTTGGAGCATTTCATGCTTCCATCTGCTGAAAAGCTTTATGGAGATGAAGATTTCATTTTTCAGCACAACTTGGCACTTGCTCACAGTGCCAAAACCACTGGTAAATGGTTTACTGACCATGGTATTACTGTGCTCAATTGGCCTGCCAACTCTCCTGACCTGAACCCCATAGAGAACCTGTGGGATATTGTGAAGAGAAAGTTGAGAGACGCAAGACCCAACACTCTGGATGAGCTTAAGGCCGCTATCGAAGCATCCTGGGCCTCCATAACACCTCAGCAGTGCCACAGGCTGATTGCCTCCATGCCACGCCGCATTGAAGCAGTCATTCATGCAAAAGGATTCCTGACCAAGTATTGAGTGCATAACTGAACATGATTATTTGAAGGTTGGTGTTTTTTGTATTAAAAACACTTGTCTTTCATTGGTGGGATGAAATATGCTAATTTTTTTGGGACAGGCATTTTGGGTTTTCATGAGCTGTATGCCATAATCATCAGTATTAAAACAATTAAAGACCTGAACTATTTCAGTTGGTGTGCAATGAATCTGAAATATATGAAAGTTTCATTTTTATCATTACATTATGGAAAATAATGACCTTTATCACAATATGCTAATTTTTGGAGAAGGACCTGCATATCTGACTTCAAGATACTAAGTTCATATAAAAACAAACCTATGTAATTCAAAAGCAACAACACCTAGTTGATAAGCTCATTACACTGTATATCTATTCAAAAACTAAATAAAACAAAAAACTTGGTGTAGAATAAACTGTCAATACTTCATTTTTAATTACAACTTACACATTATTGTACTTGAGTAAAGCGAATAAAATCAACATACGCTTATTATTATTACATGTTGTATGTTATTCTTGGTACAAATCGAGCATTAAGTAATAAACAGTTTGCTTGAATCGAGTCATCATAAACAAAAACAAAAAATTACATGTAAGATATAATTTTTGTACAAGTCTATTCCATTTATTTTAAGTGTAAATCAAAGTTCAGCAATCTTTTTTCAGCATGAACCTGTAATGAAACATTACCTTGGGCATAGTGAGAGCAGCCACATGGAACTCTGATATGCGACTTTAAAACATATTTATTGAAAACTAAAGTCTACCAATTATATCAGGGGTGTCCAAAATGTAGCCTGGGGGCCACTTGCAGCCCTTGAAGTGATTTTGTCCAGGACAGCAACTTAGGAATGGTATCATACTGGTCTGTTCACAACATTTAAAAACAACAACACTCGGGTGGGATTCAACAGCAAGCTAATTAAATTTTCCCTTTTTTTTAGCAAAACAAAGTGTCACATATTATGCTTATGTTCCCGAGAATAGACTGAAATGCTATTTTCAGGCACAAAAAAGTAAAGCAAAAGCTCCAACAAATCAAAAGAATTGAATGCTAAAATTAAAAAAAATAATAATAATTACGTCTTGGACCTATGATTTATAACTCCTTTTCCACCTAAATTAATATTTTGTCCTTTCATTGAAATATTGTGTTGACATCGTTAAATTAAAAAATGAAAAATAATATATATCATTCAGACATTTTTAACACAAATTCACAATTTTTGGGGCTCACAAGTATGTTTAACTTGATGATTTTGGCCCAAGTGTCAAAAAGCTTGGACACACCACTGATTGATACTTTATCATCACCATCACAGACATCTACACCTCCAGATGCAGGAAGAGGGCCACCTGCATCATGAAGGACCCCACTCACCCAACACACACACTTTTTGCCTCGCTCCCCTCAGGAAGAAGGTTAAGGAGCATTAAGTGTAGAACCACTAGACTGAGGAACAGCTTCTACCATGAGGCTGGTAGACTCATGAATCTCTAATCAGGATAATCACTGTGAAAAATCACATCATGTTGCTGCTGATCTGTTTCATGTTGCTGTGTTCATTCGTGCTCATCTGCTCACACAGACTCATGTTTGTGCTGCTGTCCGGCATATTGTTTTTATGCTACTAGTGCTTAACGTATTTTTAGTTAACGTTTTTCTTAGTTCATATCTTAGAACGTATTACTGTTTCTCTTTTACATTTAATTGTTGGATGTAACTAGGACCTTATGTACACAATTCCATTCCACCACATGTACCACATGTGGTGCAAATGACAAATAAAGAAACTTTGACTCTGATACAAGAGTAGGACTTTTTGCATGAAAAGAATATATTACAGGAAGAGGGTGTGCAGCCATGAGGTGCAATCAGAACTGAATTTCCTCATTTCTAATACTTTGCAGTTGCACAACTTCCTGTAACGACTTTTTTTTTTTTTAAAGATTCATTTGGAGGCTGTAGTATGTTGCTCCAGGTGTATTTTAACAATAATGGCAGTCAATAACATATCTAAAATATCAGAAATAAGACTTACTCCATACAGTTTATAGAACTAAAACTAATCGGTTTCAATAACTTGTCAACACGGGTCATTTCAAGTCTATAATAAACTGTCCTTCCTAATGCAATCAGCATGCGTTTGGAGTTTAAAGAAACGTTTTAAAGTGATGATGTAATCTGAATCAAGAAGAAAGTAAAGAGCTCCTGACAGTTCAACTTACGGTAGTTCTGTTTAATTTTTGTTGACTAAAGTTAACCTTCACGAAGCCATTAAAACAGAGACTGGGTACCCTTTTTATAGTTATAATGGATCAATCTTTTAATGCGAAGCTATTTTCTCATAACCAACAGGCTCTCGGTATCGTGTGTGTTGGACCTGTAATGAAGCTAACCTCCGAAGCTAACCCCACAGCCTTTAAGCTAACGTGTAGTCAGTGACGACACCAACCGATAAGAAAAGTCACACTTACCGAGCACACAAGAGGAAAGACTGGCACATAATACGAATACAGCAACAGCTGGCAGTCCTAACGCCATGTTTACTTGGAGTCAAAGCGGAAACTAACTGGAAGGGTCGACAAAAAAAACAAACAAGTAAGTATCGCTGCAAGCAAATTCCAGACAAATTCGGAAGGCGTATCTGGGGGGCCACATCTGATTGGACGAGGCGTATCGAGGGGGTCATATATGATTGGACTATAGGAAAATAGGCGTGTCTGGCCGGCCACATCTGATTGGACGATAGAAAAAAAGACTGAACGAAAAAAAAGTCGTTTGTGTTAACCACCATAGAAATCATATAATCACTAGATCCCTCATTGGCTGCTGAGGCGCAGGATTTTCGGCCGCCATCTTGGAACGGTCGTCCTTATTTGCTTAAAGCAGAAGATGTCTCAGCACTTCGCAGCTTATTTCTGTTCTAATCGACGGACTGTTGACGTCAGGTCTCGGGAAATAACTTTTCACAGTAAAATGAACATATTATTGTTAGTATTTTGTGAATAGAATATTAATTACTGTATTTATGTCCACCAGCTGCTGTTATGTTCAGTGTAGTGTAACACGGTGTTCAGCTGCAATGAAGCTAACTGAGATCTGATTACAGGAATATTTTTCTAACAAGCATACTCACAATTTCAGTAGCATTGGTTCATTATCAAGAGATATGTATCATAATTGGAGTTTTGTTAAAGTTCTAGGATATAAAAAAAATAAAACTAGAGAGAATATAGGAAATAGAAAATAAGATTGACCTCCTCTGTACAATGTTTTTGTGTAGACACAAATCTCCTGTTTTCATTTTGAAGGTTTCCCAAGAACAAGA